CAGCTTATGAAACATTGGTGTGATCAGCAAGCTGTTGATATAACAATTTTTTTAGAAATAACATTAGATAATAGAATCAATATTAAAATGTACCTGTTTATTGTAAAACCCGTACTTGCTTTTTTCTGCACAGATGCTGAATTCTGGGTCAAACTTGAGATAAACAGTGTACTGGGGGGCAGCAGGGCAAAGCACAAGGGGTCGAGAGATAACACTACATGAGGGGCAGCAGGCACATTACATGGGGGCACTGCACATTACATGGGAGTAGGGCACATTATGTGGCACACAGCATGGCACATTTCATAGGATCAGGGCTCCTGGGATCAGAGCACCTTATATGAGATCAGGGAAATTTACATGGGATCAGGGCACATGGGATTAAAGCACCTTATATGGGATTAGAGCACTTTACAAGGGTTCAGGGCACATGGGATCAAAGCACCTTACATGCTATCAGAGCCCATGGGATCAGAACACCTTACATGGAATCAGGCACATGGAATCAAAGCACCTTACATGGATTTTAGAGCATCTTACAGGGGATCACGGCACATGGGATCTGAGCACCTTGGACTGGATCATGACACATGGGATCAGAGCACCTTACATGGAATGAGGGCCCCTAATATGGGATCAGGGCACATGGGATCAGGGCACCTTACATGGTATCAGAGTACATTATGTGGTATCAAAGCACCTTACATGGGATCAGGGCACATGGGATCAGGGTACATGGGATCAGAGCACATGGGATCAAGGCACCTTGCATGGTTTCAGAGCACCTTACATGGGATCAGGACACATGGGATCAGGGCAGATGAGATCAGAGCACCTTCCATAGGATAGGAGCATCCTACATGAGATCAGGGCACCACACATGGGATCGGAGCACATAGTTACATAGGTACATAGTTATTCTGGCTGAAAAAAGACAAAACTCCATCTTCTAGTTCAACCATAAAAAAAGTTATAATCCTATACCCACAGTTGATCCAGAGGAAGGCAAAAAAACCTGTAAAGCATAACCCAATTTGTTCCTGCAGGGGGAAAAACTCCTTCCTGATCCCCCAAGAGGCAATCGGATGTTCCCAGGGATCAGTGCACATGGGATTAGAGCACCTTACGTGGGATCAGGGCATATGGGATCAGGACAGCTTACATAGGATCAGGGCACATGTTATCAGAGCACCTTAGCTGGGATCAGGGCACATGGGATCAGAGGCAAACGGCAGGGCAGCAGTCTCCTTCATATGTAGAACTAAGCAGGGGAGCGGCTGTGATGAGTCCTTTTCTGTTCCTCGACAGCCCCTCCTCCACTCCTCCTTTCCTGTCAATCAAGGGTGATGTCATATACAAGCACCAGGGATGGATAGGAGGGGAGGAGGGGCCGGCGGGCAGCACTACACAGCTACATAGCAGAGCAGCTTGCTTGTGTAGCTGTGCATGAGTCAGCAGTGGGGATGCGATCTACATGTCAGCTGTTTGTGACTGAAAGGTAGATCACCGTGGAACCCCTGGGGACCTCTAACAAAACCCTAGGCTTCCACTGAACCCCAGTTGAGAAACGCTGGTTAAATTGGGTAGACAGTAGAGAAAGATGCTTATTGGATGCTGCAAACTGAGTGTATTTTCATTTCTTGGCAGAAAGTGAACTTATCTACTATATAGTAAAGCAATACTTTTTAGGTGGTTTGTGCCGTAAGTATTTGTCTTACCTATTGTTTTGGCCAGTGACACCTGAAACCCCACTTTGCATGAAATTATTTTAATGAAGAACTAGTGGCTATATGACAGTGTTTTTTATCTGTGTCATTTGGGTTTCCCCAGGGTGCTGCAAGCATGGTAATGAGTTTGCCCTGGATTAGCATTATCAGTTACCATGATGGTGGCAGTCTGGCTTCTACCCCAAAACAACCAATGAGGCTGTAGGGCCATGACAAGCAGCATCCTTTGTTGTTGTTTTGGTGGCTGGCCTGCCCACACCATGGCAACACATGACACTGTTCCAGGCCGTATCTAAGCCTACCCCCATCATTCAGGAGAAGACAGAAGTTCACCTCCTCCAGACCTGCTCCACCTTCCACCCTCTGCCATGCTGCTGAAGCCAAAAGGTGGGATTCTGATGTGAACAGAGGACTGTGTGATCAGGGAGCCCTGTGATAGGGGGGTTGTGTGATTGGGTACCTCTGATGTGATGGGGGCTTTCATGTATAGGGAGGTCTTGATGAAATTGGGAGAGTCTAACATGATGATCTGATGATGACATGATGATCTGAAATCTGATGTGAGGGGAAGAGGGGTTTCTGATGTTAATTTCATCAAGGAGGTTGTATACTTTGTCCCAGGCTCAGGCGTCCCATTAATATATAAAATTTACACTTTTTACATTTTAGACTGGGATGCCTCAAGATTTTGCATACTTTTAAAAGACGCCCAGACTGAAAAAAGGTTGAGAAACACTGACTATTGACATTCACTGAAGGCCTTCAATGTGGAAAATATTCCCTTGTCTTACATTTGAGTTCTCACTGTTGTCATGACACACAAATGTAGACTATAGTTATCAAAGGGTCTAAAAAGGGCTGCTCTTGCTTATTGTAAAATCTTTCAGCAAACACTCTGACAATTACAAGTTATTGTATTTTACACACCATAGATTCTACCGCTCTTCCTGAAAGAGTTTTCTTTTGCCCTGTTCATATGCTTGATTCATGCCAGTTTGTACTCAGCCTTCCTGGACCAAGATGAAAGATCCTTCCATCTACGTAGTTTGCCAATCGTAAACTTTTCTTCTCCAATGTGGACGTGTCACCTTATGAAGGAGAAGTAGATCTGCTTTCATCTCACTCCAGTGCAATGTATCTAAGTCTCCTTATCTAGCCTCCCCTATACTCATGTTCTGTCATTGTGAAAGCTATCTATAGATTATCTTGCCATTTTTTTTTAACAATGATACATTTACCTTTTTTAAGTTCCCCGTTGCAATCTCTTTCAGCCTGTTTGGCGAGTAGCATCCATCTAATCATCTGCCCTTAAAAAAGGGGAATTGTGAAATTGTTTTGTCCCGTAGAGGAAATCAATTGGTTTTGAGCGGTCTGTTTGAACTCTTTGAAGGAAAGCCATGGCAGGAGTCCACTGCTTTCTTGCTATGTTCCAGTGACCCGTGATCATGTGGTGAAGGGTCTTTGGCTCTGTGTACAAGTGAAAGGAATCTCCTGCTTCCTGCAGTTCTCTGATGTTTGGCAGTACTCAGTGTGGTTTCCTTCTCCTGACATACTGTGTTAATAGGATCAGCCCTCACAGCCATGAGACTGGATACTATATGTTGCATAAACGGAGCCTATGTTTATTGTGTGTTTTCAAAGTTAAAGCTGACTTTTTTTCTACAACAGGAGCAAATATTGAAAAAATTGTACTTTTTCTATTTGCATGTTAGAATTAGCTAGGATTTTTTTCCTGACCTCCAGGAAAATGACTAAACACACAAATAAAAAAAAAAATACATGAGATGATATGTATTTCTGTCAATCCAGTCCCGAGATTTACACAGCTCCCCACATCACAGTCCTGTCTACCAGGGGACCTGGTCTTTCTTCAGTTCTCCTTCACCTAAAGGTTCCCAAGCCTACTTGATGCGGGGCAATGAAAAGAGATAAGATGATAAGCTGATCTCCCCATCACTGTGCTCTCCCCTCATATCAGCATATGCCTTGCACTGCAGTGTATCTGACTGGCTCATTGTGCTGTTTCTCCCTCTCGCCTCTGAGCTCTGTTGCACAGACTGTACAGGGGATTGCAAAAATACATTTAATAATATATTAAATATTACAGAGTTGCATACATTTATGCCTTTTATGTCAGCCTGGAGTTCAGCTTTAATCTCTTTGATACTGTCCAACATTCTGCCCAACGTTTTGATGTTTGTTAAGGCAAAGATGGACTATGATCCATCAAAACATTGGTCAAACTGCTCTTTGTTGGACACATACTCCTGCTCAAGACCCATGAGTGCCTCTACTTTCTACAGTATACACACTATTTTGCCAAAAGTATTAGGACACCCCTCCAAATCATTGGATTCAGGTGTTACAATCACCTCTATGGCCACAGGTGTATAAAATCAATAATCTAACTGACAATGAGCCAAAACAAAACCAAATAAGTAACTACTGCCAACATCCCTACAGATAATACAGTAAAGATATGACCAGGTCAGAGAAACCCTATGCAACTTTGAGGGCAGAAAAGTATAAAACTTACAATATGTTAAAAGACCAATAGTCAATCTTTATTTGTAATAACAAAAAATGCTCGGTACAGCGAGATAAAACATAGTGTAATAAACCAACTAAATGAGCCAACATATACCCAAATGGATTATGGATACAACAATGTAGATACATGTCTTGATTGGCAGTGGTGTATTCTTCCCATAGCTCCCAACATGTTTCGGAACTAAGTTTTTTACTCAGGGAAAATAATGGTATAGTGGTACTACAATACAATAATGTCATATCAATAATACATATAATGAAAATTACAATGTATATTACAGGTTGTAAATAAAGATAAAACACGACAGATCAGTGTATGCAAATACCTCCATAGCTAACAAAAACAATTGTTGCGTGTATCAGTATACCTTGTTACAATATAGACATCCACAGAAAGAAAGATAGTAAGACCACGATCAAACAGAGGGTCTTCACATTAACCGCCTCCTGCCCGTTATATAAGGTAATGAGGGGCGCAAGGTGGTTCTCTCATTCTGGGAGGACGTCATATAACGTCCTCCCACTCTAACCGCGCGTGGGGCGGCTCCTGGAGCGAGCAGCGCGGCGATCGGTGGTTCGCTGTGTCCCTCGGACACAGCGGATCACCGATCAACGGAAAGAGCCAAAGATGTCAGCTCGGTCATGTGATCAGCTGTGTCCAATCACAGCTGATTGCATGTAAATAGGGAAATGACGGTTATCGGCATTCCTCACCTCACGAGCCATCACGCCGACAGCTCGAGAGGAGAGGAGAGCTGGTAATTGGCATTCCTCGGAGGGGACATGTACACAGATCATCAGGGCACTGATGATCAGTGTGCCCTGATGATCAGTGGAGCCCCAGCAGTACCCCCTGTCAGTGCCCATCAATGCCAGCTGTCAGTGCTCATCAATGCCACCTGCCAGTGCCCATCAGTGCCAGATCAATGTCACATATCAGTGCCCATCTGAGCTGCCTTTCATTAACACCTATCAGTGCCAGTCAGTGCCACCTATCAGTGCTGCCAATCAGTGCCTCCTATCAGTGCCAGTCAGTGCTGCCTATCAGTGCCAGTCAGTGCCACCTATCAGTGCCACATGTCAGTGCTGCCTGTCAGTGCCACCTAACAGTGCCAGTCAGTGCCGCCTATCAGTGCCACCTATCAGTGCCGCCTATCAGTGCCATATATGAGTGCTGCCTTTCAGAGCCCATCAGTGATGCCTGTCAATGCCCATTAGTGCCACCTACTAGTGCCTCTTCATCAGTGCCCATCAGTGCTACCTATCAGTGCCTATCAGTGCAGCCTATCAGTGCCCATCACTGCAGTCTCATTAGCGCACATCAGTGAAGGAAAAAAATCACTTATTTACAAAATTGTGTAACAAAAACTAAGAAAAAACAGGGTTTTTTTTTCAAAATTTTCAGTGATTTTTGGTTTGTTTAGCAAGAAATAAAAATCCCAGAGGTGCTTAAATACCATCAAATGAAAGCTCTATCTGTCTCAAAAAAATTATAAAAATTTCATATGGGTACAGTGTTGCATTCAAAGTGTGACAGCGCTGAAAGCTGGCCTGGGCAGGAAGGGGGTATAAGTACCCTTTAGGCAAGTGGTTAATGGTATCCACAAGGGCCGGATCTAGACTGTCTGGTGTAGGGGTTCAGCAAAAAATCTCAGGGGGGCAGAGGATGAGAGGTCAGTAGAGCAGTGTACAGGGGGCCAGCAGGGCAGAGCATAGGGTCAGCATTGTGGAGAAAATGGGTTGTCAGGTCAGAAGTGTAGAGGACAGGAGTCAGTAGGGCATAAGACATCGGTCGGCAGAGAAGAGGACAGGGTCACTGCTGGCAAAGCACTCAGCAGCTCTCCTCCTCCCTTCTCCACGCTGCAAACAGCCTGGGTACTCAGATCTCCTCCACCCCACACAGCACATAGCCGAGATCAGATTCTTTTACAGACACAGCATCTGTCTGCACAGTATGTAGCTGGTCTTGCACATATCCCCCCTAACCCCCCTCCTTGCACATATCCCCCCTAATCCCTCCTCCTTGCACAAATCCCCCCCAACCAGGGGCGGACTGACCATTTGGAAACTCAGGCACTGCCCGGGGGCCCCATGAGATGCCCCTGGTACCTTTTTCATAGGCTTTTTTGAGTTTGGGCAAGGACACAGGGGCCCCATGATCCCCTATTGCCCGGGGACCCCATGAGTTGTCAGTCCGCCCCTGCTCCCAACCCCCATCCTTGCACATTTGCCTCCTAATCCCTCCTCCTTGCACATATCCCCCCTCCTTGCACATATCCTCCCTAATTCCTCCTCCTTGCATGTATCCCCCCAATCCTATCTCCTTGCACATGTCCCCCATAATCCCTCCTCCTTGCATGTCCCCCCCCCTAATCTCTCCTCCTTGCACATATCTCCCCTAATCCCTCCTCCTTGCACGTATCCCCCCCCCCCCCAATTCCTGCTCCTTGCACATGTCCTCCCTAATCCCTCCTCCTTGCACATATCTCCCCTAATCCCTCCTCCTTGCACGTATCTCCCCCCTAATTCCTCATCCTTGCACATATCCCCCCAGTCCTTCCTTCTTGAACATGTCTCCCCCAATCCTTCTTCCTTGCACATATCCCCTCTAATCCCCCCTCCTTGCACGTATCCCCCCTAATTCCTCCTCCTTGCATGTATCCCACCTAATTCCTCCTCCTTGCACGTATCCCCCCAATCCTTCCTCCTTGAACATGTCCCCCCCAATCTTTCCACCTTGCACATGTCCCCCCCCAGTACCTCCTCCTTGCACATATTCCCCTCCCAATCCCCCCTCCTAACGAATATCCCTCCACTTTTAATCTTAAACAAATTATTTACACACACACACGCAGAAGGAAATGTGTGCAGGGTGCAGAGAATTCAACTGTGTGCAGTCCGAGCCAGTGATCTTGTGTGTGTGATGTGCTGTGTGGAGGAGCGCTGCACTGACAGGAGGGAGAGGGCACAGCACATCCTCTCTCCTGAACATAGATCACTGCACTAGGCTATGCACTCACACATCCAGGGCCAGCTCTGAGTGTGCGAATGGGGGATGCTACTCGCCCATCAGCTGTCAGCCAGGGGGGGCACAACAGAAATCTGGGGGATCACAGCTCACACCAGCACTCCCCTAGATCTGGCCATGGTATCCACACCTCCAAATTTCACAAGGCCACTGCAAGGATCCCAAAGAGGCATCACCCATAGGAAAGGCCAATGTATATAAGATACATAAAATAACTACAGTTTGGCTCACCAAGTGAACACATATGGTATAGTACGAGCCACAGGTTGGAAGTTATTGAAAGTCATAATAATGGCTATAGAAGCATTAATGCTGCGACACAGTAAGTCCAAAACGATATAACATAAAAAATAAAACTAACACCTACAAGTCGCATTATAGGTAGCATGCCAAATGGGTGGTAGCAAAGAGTATGTATCTATATCCTGAGTACAACAATGGAAAACTGCTGTGTTGAAATAAGGAACATCTTACCTGGTCACATAGGTGTGTTGATCACCATAAAGGTGTGCCCAACAAGGAAGTAAAAAAATTACTGACTAAAGGGTAAGTATATATATAGGTAAAGAGAGGAGGATGGTCCTCAAAAATGGCCGATGGTGTCCCTAAAGCAGGGAATGCATGCCCACCGCACAGGTGCATTGCGGTGTGGCATGCAGGCGTCAGCATACCAAGACATTTTGGACTCCCAAAATTTCATACTCCCAAAATTGTGGGAACAGTTTGGGTATGGCCCCTTTCTGTTCCAACATGAGTGGACCAGTGCACAAAGCAAGGTCCATAAAGACATGGGTGAGCGACTTTGGGGTGGAGGAACTTGACTGGCTTGCACAGAGTCCATAGAATGACTTTTGGATAAATTAGAGCGGAGACTGCGAGCCAGGCCTTCTTGTCCGACATCAGTGCCTGACCTCACAACTGCGCTTCTCGAAGAATGGTCAAACATTCCCATAGACACATTCCTAAACCTTGTGGACAGCCTTCCCAGAGGAATTAAAGATGTTATAGCTGCAAAGGGTGGGCCAAGTCAATATTGAACCCTACGGACTAAGACTGGGATGCCATTAAAGTTCATGTGCATGTACAGGCAGGCGTCCCAATACTTTTGGCAATATAGTGTATGTACTGATGGTACATTGTTGCAGTGCACCTGGGCAGAGCCGGTGGACATAGTATAATGCTTTGAACAATGTTCTGCTGGGAAACCTTGGGTCCTTCGATTCATATGGATGTTGCTTGACACGTGCCACCTTTCTAAACATTATTGCTGACCAAGTACACCCACTTCATGGGTATGGCATTCCCTGATGGTAATGGCCCCTTTCAGCAGGATAATGTTCCGTGCCATACTGCAAAAATGGTTTGAACAAGGATGGTTTGAGGAACACAACAAGCCTGAAGTTTTGACTTGGCATCCAAATTCTCCAGATCTCAATCCAATCAAGCATCTGTCGGATGTGCTGGAAAAACAAGTCTGATCCATGGAGGCCCAACCGCACAACTTACAGGACTTAAAGGATCAACTACTGAAGGCTTGGTGCCAGATACCACAGCATACCATCAGAGGTCTATTGGTGTCCATGGCTCAATGAGCAGGGCTGTTTTGACAGCAAAAGGGAGAACTACTAAATATTAGGTGGGTAGTCATAAATTTGAGGCTGATCGGTATATATATAGCGCCCTCTAATGTACATAGTTTGTTAGTGTAGTTAGAAGCTTGCTAGAAGGTTGGGTGTGAGTCAGAGGGTTTACTTCAGGTCACGCTTGAGAGCTCTACAAGTCAGTCCTCTGGTACATACCCCTACTCTAGAAGCCAGTGAGTGGAAGACAGGAGGAGCTGACCTGAATATTCATGGGAGTCTGACCAATCCCATCACGGTGCTGACCAATCATCAGCCCTCTAGCCCAAACTGTCTTTGCTACAAGGAGAGGATAGAAAGCCGTGGGGATTTTAAATCCCCAGACCTGTGAAGCGTCTTTCTTTCCTTTCCTTGCAGTGATGGCAGCGATGGGCTAGACGGGCTAGACGGCATCTGATTAGTCAGCAATGTCCATGTGACGGTGCTGCTGTCCAATCAAAAGTCCTCTAGCCTGAACTGTCATCCCTGCAAGGAGAGAAAAGAAAGCGGAGAGGATTTCAGATCCCCGCAACATTCTCTCCTCTCTTACCACTGAGACTCAGCATGGGATGCCTGCAGGGAGGTTTCACGCACCGCTCCTGTGTGTTCTCGGGCTATGACAAGCCTGGGTTCACACAAGAGCAGTTGGGAAACTGTATGCAATTTGGACAGGAGTCGCATGCTATTCTTTGCTGTGCAATTTGTGTCTATTAGGAATAACTGATCAAACTTGCATGTTGGGTTTCAGAGTTACAAGTGTGCTATACAAGGAGATCAGGCATCTAATTAAAGCTTTAAGAACATTTATCTATAGGTTTTCCTTACACATAGAGCTGCCTGAAATGAAACAACCTGAAATTTGGTCAAAAATAAGCAAAGAACACTGAAAAACTCTAGACAAGATCTTTTTTTTTTGTTCTGAAAGACTAAAAGAATACAGAATGTTACAGAAAAGATTTGATTAAATTGCAGTATTGCAGTGTAGATTAAATTGCAGGGTACACACATTTCTACATAAAGGACAAAAGTCTGTGTGTCCCTTTTTTGAAGTATATCTCATGATACTTGAAGACTTTGCTAACAATCAGAATGTTGAGGGATAAAAAATCGTGCTAATGATAATGAAGTGTTTATCGTAAGATGAACTCAATTTCAGTCATGTTTTGCTGTCTGATAATCAAAGAGGATCAGGTATGGGGGCATCAATAAACAACTTCAAAGATGTTTCCCTCCTACTCTTAACTCAGTTGATCGCACAGGAACAGGAAGTTCTTTTTGTGTGTCTTATTAAGCTGGAGAGAAAGCCATTATCTGTAATAAGCTATAGCTATAGCAGATTAGTTCATGTACCATGAATCTAGTCATTAGAATCAGCTGCCAGAGAAAAAAATTCTCAGGACTAAGCTGAAGTATAATATGACAAAAAATTTTCTTGTACAGTGATCTAAAATATAATAGGTACTACAGTGCTTAGCATTACCAAACCACATCCTTTCTAATACACTCTTAGCTAAAAGGTAGTATCAGGAAATTAGACCCAAAATTATTTTCTAAAAAATAATACCATTTTGTATTTCTTCTTTGTATTTTATATTTTTGAAGGAAACGTTGCCAAATTACAAAAACTGCATGTAAAAATGTTGAAAATTCAAGTATTTAAAAGCATGCTTGCAGTGTTTTTCCTTTCTATATGGACTCAATTGACACTTGCGGTT